AACTCCTGCAGCAACACCAAAAAAGACTAAGAATCCTAAAAGGCAAAGAAGCCATTCCCCTGAAAATATAGACCCTTCAACCCATAAAAAAAAAACCCATATTTAACATAGAGGATGACGTGTGCCGAGTCTCGAAACAACTAGAGGAAAAGGCTTTGCAATACTCCAAGAAAATGAGAAATATCAAATCCCTAGTAAATTTCCGGAAAATAAACAACTTAGACATTGAAGACCCCAGAAATTTGCCCAAAGCTAAAAGGGTCTTAACTGTCATCAGAGGGGGTGAAGCTGGTCAACAAATTTGGTCCATGGTTGCGGAGGCAAATGAAGTCGTCGGCATGTTTCGATAATGACACAGCAAAAAAATTACAACAATTTTCTTCAGGGAGGTTCCCGCTTTTTGTTCACCCCTCCCTTTATAGAGCGTTGAAATTAACTTTCCCTCTGGACATTGGCGGCCTGTCTCCCGACGGTACCATCAAAACTGAGATGGGAACAGGCTCGATGGGAGAGGCTGTTGGTGTCCTTTCCCCGTCCATGTTTAATGCAGGAGAGCAACAATAATCGGTTTCATTATGGCTCTCTGGTTAGCTAGTCTGAATGTCCGAGGCCTGAGGACGGAGTCTCGCAGGGCGAGGCTCCTTCGTGACCTTCAGCGTCTCAGAGTGAATGTTTGTTGTGTACAAGAGACCCGTTTTTCTACTCATGACTATGAGGACATTCTGTCTAGGGGGTTCTCCCTCTATTCAGCATGTTTTGATGGTTGTTCGAGAGGTGTCTCTTGTCTAGTGAGCAAGTCTTTGAAGGGTGCATGTACCCTTGTCTTCGCAGATTCGGCGGGCAGGCTTTGCGTGCTGGATGTTACCATAAAGGATAAGGCTCTTATTCTCATTGGGGTTTATGTGCCCAATGTCTATTCTGAGCGACCTGCTTTGGTTCGGCAGATCGATCCGTTTTTGATGACATCTCGTCGGGTAGTTTTAGCGGGTAATTAGAATGCCGTCCTTGACCCCGATATAGATCGTATAGGGCCAAATTCGGATGTGAAACCATTTCGGACTTTATCGACAGGTTTGATCTTGTCGATAAGTACCGGAATGAGCACCCTTGGGAGGTAGTTTGGACTTGGACAAGTAGTGGCGGCTCGGATGCTGGGGCTATTTCTTTTGCAGGCTGTCCTGTTTAGTTTGATGGGCTCCGAACAGACTTGTGCTGTGAAGGGTAGGACTATTCAGGACAACATTCAAATGGTACGCTTGAACATTGAGAAAATCGACAGTGAAGCCGCTCTGATCAATTTAATCAGTCCAAGGCCTTCGATAGGGTTGACCATCGATTCCTGAAGACTGTCTTTTCGGCGGCCGGTTTCGGTGCGTACTTTCGCACCTGGAGCCGAGTTCTGTATGCGACTCCCAGTGCCCTGGTGGAGGTGAATGGGGTACGATCGGAGCCTTTCGTGTTGTCTCGCTCCATTCGTCAAGGTTGTTCGCTTTCGCCTTTGCTTTACGTTCTCGAGTTGAAACCTTTCCTTCGCAAGTTAAAGGTGAATCCGGTCCTGTGCGGAATTTCTTTGCCTGGGGTTACCACCTCAGCCAGGTATTCTGCCTATGCTGATGACATCTCGGTTCTTGTGTCGAGCAGAGCCGAGACTGACGAAGTCAGCAAAGAGATCAGTGGTTATGAGATGGTGACAGGGGCCAAGATCAACCTCGATAAGTCTGTTGGCTTGCGGTTGGGTGCGTGGAAGGGAGTTTCTCTTTCTGGACCTTTCCTCTGGACGGATGGGCCGGTCAAGATACACGGCGTCTGGTTCGGTTCTCATATCCATTTGGAAATGAATTGGTCAGAGGTAAGAGGGAATGCTGAAATCACAGTTAATTTGTGGTCTCGGAGGAATCTTTCCTCGAAGGGGAGGGCGGAAGTATGTGTTTCACCCATCTACCCGATTCTCCTATTTCCACTTCCGTAAGCCACACTAATGTCATTAGTAAGGCTTTTGTTCTCTTTCTTGCGGAGAGGCAAAGCCGTTATGGTATCTCGGGAGATCTGTTGCCTTCATCCATCTGAAGGCGGTCTGGGTATGTCTAGCATTGAGATTCTTCAATATATGCTTCGCATCGGCTTCCTAGATCGAATGTGTCGCGAATCGGATGAGGAGGGCGCCTTCTGGAAAGAAGACGCCCGTAAAACTTCCCCATCCTTGAGAAGTGTGTACTCGAGCGAGGAGGAGGCCCATCATTTGCCCTGAGCCGAATGCTCCTTCTATCGTGAATGTCGTATTGCTCTGAAACGTCTCTTATGGACGTCGGATGGCCGGACGTCCAGGCGTTGTCTCGTAGGGCATTATATCAAGTGTTAGTCAGGTAAGTGGGGGCGTGATGAGCTGATTGACGAGCTCGGTCTTACGAAGCAGGAGCCTCGCTCAATATGGCCTTGGGCACCCGGGTTGAAATGCCTCAATAACGATGAGGCATCACTGATCTGGCTGATGATTCGTGGGGCTCTCTGGGTCGCCAAAATACTTTGTTCAGTGGGCTGCCGTCGCTGTAGTGGGGAAGTAGAGACAATTGGTCACGCCTTCTTTCATTACAGGGTGGTAGCGCCGTTGTACAGGTTTGTTGAAGGTCACATCGCCCACATGCTGCAGGGAAAGTTTTTTGTCCTTGAAGCCAGTTCTGTTTGTAGCAATGTGGTGCCGCAGATGACGAAGGCTGAACAATATGTGTTCTTTTGCTTGCTAGGGGTTATGAGAGTCGTGATTTGGACGACGCGTCAGAAGGAATTCTATGAGGGCGAGAGGTTCATTTCTTCCCACCTGATCTTGTTCTTTAAGCATCAGCTTAAAGTCAAGATTAAGACGTAAAAGCGGCGACTCACCTCATCAGAATTTGGCAAAAGGTGGGTGAATCTTGCGCGGTTGTGTCGAATAAAAGGGGCTGACCTAGAGTCGCATCAGGATATTGTTCTTCCTGGGTTGAACTTGAGCAACCCATCCCGAAATTAGGTTAGTGTAGATTTTGTTTTTTGAATCTTTAGTTTTTTTTTTCTTTCTTTTTTCCAGTTAACTTAGCTAGGGTGTGTCTGCTCATTGGCCCCTTTTTTCCTGTCCCTAATTTTTTCTTTAGTTTAATTCCCTACCCCCTCGCTCATTAGGTGATCAGTGATGTCAGTTCTCTGGTGGATACGGGACGATTTTCGTTTTTTCGCCTATCTGTGTTTTTCGTTTTCTGTTGTCGTGTTTAGTTGAGTGCGTGTCTGTGTGAGTGTTAGGGATGAAAGAATTTTTTTTTTTATATTTTATAGGCCCGCATTAATTTCGTTCAGTGAACTGATGTTTCTGCCACATTTAAGTATTCTGGGGCGTGGGGTGGGAGTTTATTACTAACAATGATTTGTTTAGTTTCTTGTAAATAAATTAATTCATATTGTATATACTCATTGGGGATCTTTTTAATTTGTTATTTTATTCCCTTCCCCACATACGACGATTTGTATATATGGGGACTATTTAGGATTTTCATAGAGACAATGAGGTATTATGGTGGATGTAGTAAGAAAGGCTAGTAAGAATGTGTTGTTTTGGTGTTAGGAATATTGTGTGCATGCTTGGGTCAGTGCTTGTGGCTAGCTAAGTTTAAAATTAAGACAGGTGAAGACCGTCCTTTTCCCCATCCCCTTTTTTAGGCCTTGTGCCACATTTTCTGTAATTTTACAGAAATAAATATTGTAATGGTTATCAAGCTTATCTCGCTAGATTAATTACGACTGAGTTCAATCTTCACTCGGTGCCCCATAATTCCGGCCTTGTACCACACCTAAGCTACACTTAGAAAATCCTCATCAATCTATCTCAGTCTATTCATATCTATCTATTTCTCTCTCTCTCTCTCTCTCTCTCTGGGTCTGTCTATATTTCTGAGATGAGGTATTATGTACATTATTTACATTATTCGGACCATTGTTCTCATCTTTGTCGCCATATTCATCACAACGTTTCGGTCGTTGTACGCGCCGGCCTTCTTCAGGTGACATTCCAACCACCCGAAGAAGGCCGGAGCGTACAACGGCCGAAACGTTGTGATGAATCTCTCTCTCTCTCTCTCTATCTCTCTCTCTCTATCTGTCTGTCTGTCTGTCTATCTATGCAACCATAATTCTGTTTAACGATTGACACCAGTGTTTCAATTGGGTAATAGTGAAGAGGCACGGTGGAGTAATGGATAGCGGCTCGGATTGAGGAATCGGAGAGCCGAGTTCGAATCCATTACATCCAAACACGTGATAATACCCTTGAGAAAGGGATGAAACTTTTTCTCCCCCCCCCAATATAACTGGCTATGTGTAAATAGCAGGAGGGAGAAGGAGGACAGCCTTGGATGTAAGAAATGGCAACCTACCGCGGGGAAAAATCTGCCTCGTCAGTCATGTATTGAAAGATACATGATCGCCTACGTATGTATCACGCTCGGCACATGACAGACTGACTGAATAGTGAAGAGTGGATCGAACTTACTTTCCATTTCTATAAACCATCATGCAAATGGAATCTTAGCATAAAATTCGATTCAGTTGTCTCCTTTCTGGATCTGCTATTCATTGAAGTTCGTTTCAATGACTATATATATATATATATAGAGAGAGAGAGAGAGAGAGAGAGAGAGGAGGGGAAATCAAAATTTCGATTTTTGTCCCCGCCCTTTTTATGAACATTGTTTCTCTGATGGCTTTTCAGCTCAACACAAGGAAACTGTTGCATATCATTGAATGTATAAAATACAAGATCAATGATAATTGCACTTATGGTCTGCCTAGGGGTGACAGAATAAAGATTCTATTGTATGAAAGGTGGTAACAAAACTATTAGGTTCTATTATATATATATATATATATATATATATATATATATATATCTGTGTGTGTGTGTGTACATCGATGTTTATTCATTTGTCGTTTTATTCCACCTCTTCATATTGAATATCTCAAAATTGTACATAATCTAAATGTATAAATATCTCACTATTATTGTATCGCTGTCTATTCATACGTTATCACGTGAAATCTCCTGCTTTCTATCTATCTATCTATCTATCTATCTATCTATCTATCTATTTGTTTGTATCTATCTCAGTTAGTTAATATATATCTCAGTCTGTTAATATCTATGTATCTATTTGTCCCTATGTATCTCAGTTTGTTCATATCTATCTATCTATCTATCTATCTATCTATCTATCTATCTCTACGTATCTATCTCAATCCGTCTATATCTATCTATCTATTTGTACGTATCTATCTCAATCTGTTTCTATCTATCTATCTATCTATCTATCTATCTATCTATCTATCTATCTATCTATCTATCTGTACGTATCCCTCTCAATCTGTTTATATCTATCTATCTATCTATCTATCTATCTATCTATCTATCTGTACGTATCCCTCTCAATCTGTTTATATATATATATATATATATCTCAATCTATCTATCTATCTATCTATCTATCTATCTATCTATCTATCTATCTATCTATCTCAATCTGTTTATATCTATCTATCTATCTATCTATCTATCTATCTATCTATCTATCTCAATCTGTTCATATCTATCTATCTATCTATCTATCTATCTATCTATCTATCTATCTGTACGTATCTATCTCAATCTGTTTATATCTATCTATCTATCTATCTGTTTGTTTCTACCATGCTCGCAGCAATCATATTCATTGTTATGCATATTTCCATTTTCCTTCCTCTTAGTTCAGTCGATTCGCCTGTATTTCAATCAATTTCATCTTTGTGACCCATTGACCTCATCAAAACATTTCCTATTATTTGTTCATGTCCGTCCGTACACTAAGATTGATTTGTCTGCTCATATTTCTCTCAGTCTTCTTATCCATCTGTTGCTCATTCGATCCATATCGACAGCCCCCCCCCGACGCCCCCGACACCGTCATATCGAACATCGATATCTCAATTTTATAAGAGTATGATATTTGTGCCCTATTTATTCATACCTTTTTTTTTGTCTTTCTGTCGGAAGCAAACGACTTTACAACTCTCTCTCTATCTCTCTCTGATTCAGCATAGGGCACAAACGGTCGATGCATAAGACATTGCAGCCGGTGAGTTGCCTAGTTAGACTGTCTTCTTATTTCAAAACCCATCTGTTCTGTATTTCTCTTTCAAACCTCCATTTTGAACCCGTCAGTTATTTGCTAGTTTTCTCTAAGGCTTCTTCATTTATTGTTGTAAATATTTCTCCTAATGAATATGAAATCGGTGAACGTAAAATTTGAAATAGAATCTTATACTATTTTTATACTATTGTCAGTGTTTTAATGACTAAATCAGTTTTTTAAACAGTTTATAAACCTTTTGCAGGTTATTTGAAGCCATAAAATATTTTTAGATTGTAAGAATTTTTTAAGATAATAATGATTTTTATGGATAAAGTTCTACTAACTGGAAAGTGAAGCAGTGGAGTCATAGCTTTTACCAAAGGTGTTTACGTGTAAGTGAATATAAAGACTCCGACTGGGATTAGAACTCGGCTCTCCGATTAAAATTCGAAGGCATTACACATCCAAGATTAAAGCACCTGGTCTCCACAAGCAGTCACCCATCTAGGTACTAACCGGGCTCGACGTTGCTTAACTTCGGTGATCATACGAGAACCGGTGTTTCAAAACGGCCTTCATCACTAAAGTTTTGCTAGATACAAGGTGGTGCAATTATATTTTTTTCGCCAAGCATTCGGGAGCATTCAAAGGTTTTTCACTGACACAGCTTTTTAACGCGAGAATTGACGAGAGACAGAAATGAATTCGAAGAAATTTACCAGCAAATAAGAATATTGTAAAGCACAAAATAAGGAAAACATTTTATTTATTAGGTGCGTGCAAAAATTCTCAGCATTCCTTTTGAAAGCTGTTATTTAGTAAGCATAGTTTAATTTTGAAGAAGACCACAAACAGGACGTACCCGATGAGGATCGATTTCACTACTCAGCAATAATGGTAAAACAGACATGCTCGTTAACTACGATGAGATACCCTAAAATGCTAAATGCAGCTTGGTTTGGGTACAAGGCCACTGATATAGAGTGTTTAAGGAAAATCAAATACACGACTCTTACAAGGCGGAGTTGGAATAAACGGGGTGTGGGGAAAATCTAAAGTAGAAGTGATTTTCCAAGCAGGGCTTAGATGTGACATAAGGCCGAAAGTATAGGGGCACCTAGTGAGGATCGAACTCACTACTCAGTCGTAATTGTTCTAGCAAGGTTGGCCCTGATCTGGCATCTCGTCTTCAGTCGCTCTCTCACAGACGTACTGTACTACTGTACTGATGCGGCATTCACCCTGGGCGGATTGAGCCGGCTTCTTCCTGTTATGAGAAGAAGATTCTTGGGATAAATTACAGAAGTAGGGTACCCAGGCCTACTCGGATAACGTTCTTGCTTGCCGCGGGGTTCCCACAGACGCAGAGACAGGAACGACCAGAAGCCGCCGGTTACCGATGCAGACGCCCTTGGATTTTCACCAGAGCCCTTGTTAGCCGGCGTGTGTGTCAGACCTGTCCGCCTTGGGTGGCCCTACCAGGAACGAAGTTCCGGTTGGCATAGCTCTGACACTACCGTTTACATCCCCCACCGACTGTGAGGTAAGGGTTGGACTTTGGACCGTCGCCACGGTCTTTTTTACAAACACTTTCGCGGTAACTGCTTCGACGAGTTACTTTCGCTAGTTCCCAGACTGCATGAATTTAAGCGTGCTACTAGGCTGGCATCACGGTCCCACCCTTTCACTGTCGAAACGGTTAAATGTGGTCGTCTCTTCTATTCCGAGAGCTTTATGTCTCGCACCTCCCGCCTGAGGAATTCCTTTCCTATTACTTGTTTCCCTGATAGCTATAATCTCCGACTATTCAAATGTAATGTCAATCGACATCTCTTGATCTATTCCCTGTCCTTCTCTTCATCCTTTCCTCTATCACACCTCTTTACTTTCGCTCCCACTCAAGCTTGCTAACAATGGTTAGAAAGGTTGTCTTTTTTTCTTTTTCTTTTTTTTCGAGGTGCCCGATGATTTTCTAGCTTAGATATGGCACAAGGCCGAAAGTATGGGGCGCCCAGTGAGGATGGAAATCCCTATTCAGTCGTAAATGATTTAGTGAGAGAAGCTTGTTAACTATTACACCACGTCCAAGTGCCCAGATCTAAAAAGTAGAGAAAGAATTAGTCTTGAATATAGTTTATTCTACAATGGCACAAATGCTACGGACATCGCCTTGTAAGGTGACAAAAAATGTTGCTATAGTGATGAGATGAGCATTTTTAACTAACTGCAGTGAGTTCGATCCGCAACGGATGCGAACTTACTAAATATGTATTCTTCATTTTATGTGCCGTCTCCTTTCAGGACGTAGGCGATCATGACCCTCCACTTCCCCCTATCCCTTGTGGCTCTCAACAGGTTTTGTGTTTCTGCCAACTTCCCCAGACCACACTCCGCCATCCGCCTGCCCAAGCCCGTCACGTATGTCATACGATGCTTTCCCCTGTCTCTTTTTTCCCCTCTATTCGTCCCGTGAGTATCAGATTCTCCAGGCCCTCTTTTCTCATCACGCGTCCCAGAAATTTTATCTGCCTCTTCCTTATGTTTGCTTCATATTCAAAACCTCATCGTCACTCACATGCTCGGCTCATGATATCCTCATCATCCTTCTGTAGAACCACATCTCCGCCGCCTCGAGTCTCTACTTCATCCTTGAGGATACCGTACAACATTCGCTGTCATAGAGGAGGACAGATGTCACGTAGCAGCTCAATACTCTTTTCTTTGTCACCAATATTATATTCATCCTAGGTATGACGATAAAGTACATCCTGCAGCAAGGCCTCTGATTGGGAGATTTTGAGGAGCGTGGAACCACATCTTAATTGCTATTGTCCTCAGGTCCACCCGCTGGGTCCCCGCTATGGGCAAAATAGTGAACTTTGCCAAACTGGGGTCAAAACATTACGAAAGTATGAAAAATATATATATATTTTTTAAGCGTTTCACCCCAAGCAAGGCGGGAAGCCGCTGGGACGCAAGGGGTTACAGAAGATTTGGAGCAAGATCAGATAGGAGTGATAGAGGAAAGGATGAGAAGGGTAGTGGATAGATCAAGGCAACTGGAGATGTCGATTGACATTACATTTGAATAGTTGGAGATTATAGCTCTCAGGGAAACAGGAATAGGGAAGGGTGTTCCACAGGCCAGAGGTGCGAGACATGAAGCTATTGGAGTAGAAGAGACGGCTACATTTAATAATTTCTACAGTGAAAGGGTGAGAGCGGGTGCCAGCCTCGTAGGGCGCTTGAATTCATGGAGTCTGGGAACCAGTGAAAGCAGCTCATCGGAGCACTTACAATGAAAGTATTTGTAAAAAAGACAGAGAAAGGTGACAGCGTGTCCGTGAGAGAACGTCTGTAGACAAGATGCCAGGGCAGGGCCAATTATATTGCATATCCGCCTCTGGAGCCTATCAAGAACCCCGAGGCAAACAGAAGAGGCTCCAGACCATATATATTTTTGTAGTAGGAATGCACTATATATTTTATAATAAATACCAGAAATAATGGAAAAGGAAGAGAAAAATTACCAGCAATATATTTTAGAAAAGAAAATTAGCAAGCTCTCAAGTAAATTAAATCTCAGTATTAAATAACACATAAGGAGGTGATAAGCTGTTAAACGAACCAAAACAATACATTTATGGCCGAAAATAAATAAAATCTACAAACAAATCAACGTGATTCGTTGTAGCTTAGATGTGGCACAAGGCCGAAAGAATGGGACAAAAAGGAACGCTTGTTAACCACAACGTCGAGGTACCCACTTGCGTGGCGCTAATGGTGATTTTCTAAGCGTAGCTTAGATGTGGCACAAGGCCAAAAGTATCGAGCAACCATTGAGGATCAAACTCACTATTCAGTCATCGTAACTGTTTTAGCGAGACAGGCTTGCTAACCATTAAACCACTTCGAAGTGTCCTAAATGATTTTCTAAATGTAGCCTAGATGTGGCACAAGGCCGAAAAAATGGGGCACCAAGGGAGGGTGGAATTCTGCAGTAATTGTTCTAACGAACCAAGCTTGCTAACCATTACACTTACATCGAGGTGTCCATTGCGTGGTGCTCCTGATAGCGAACAATAAACTGAAAATTACTGCCTGATGATTTGAACAAGGTAAATACAGTTAGCCGCTTAGGATGCGACAGCAAATTGGCTCGTTGGTCTAGGGGTATGATTCTCGCTTAGGGTGCGAGAGGTCCCGGGTTCAAATCCCGGACGAGCCCAATGATAATTTTCTTTTCCAAACATCGATTCAATAGACTTCAAAATTCTTCGACAACACAAAGGTATCTTGCTAACTGTTTATATTGTTTGTATTTATTATCAAGAAGTTAATAAAAATTAAAAAGCTTATTTTAATGTAACGCGAAGATCCGATAAATTAATAAATACTATCTATAAAAAGTTATATATACATATATTTTCTTTTTCTTTTTTTACCGTTCAGTTCCATTGATAAACAAATAAATAGAAGCAAAAATTCATAACGTTCCAATTAAAATAATGCATTAGCTTTAGCAATCATAAGTTTTTCACTCAAATACTAAATATAAATTTAGTCCAATTAAAATAATTCTAAATAATTAATAAGCCTTAAAATAGATTTAAAAAAAAATAAACAAATTTTTCCTGGAAAATTTTGGATATAAAATACTTGGGCTCATCCGGGAATAACATCGAAACGCATGCTGGGAAAAAAAGGCAAACCTTGCAAATTTCTAAACTCACCAACATACAGAATATGATAACAAATGAAGATCTTTCAAAGTCGTAATCGTAGCAAAAAGAAACAAAGAAAATCGGTCTGTCAAGAAATGGCGAAATTACAATGCCGACTTGCATTTATTAATGTGCGTAAAAAATAAAAAGAAATTTTGCAGGGTCGTCCGGGAAATTGAACCCGGGACCTCTCGCACCCGAAGCGAGAATCATAACCCTAGACCAACGAGCCGCGGTCTAACGGATTTACCATATAATAAAAAATAACCTGAATATTTTTAAATGGTCCAAATTCGGATGTAAAAACAGTTCACTAATTCTGCTTTACATTTCACAGAAACTGAAATAGCTTTAGAGAGAGTGAAATGGCTATTCTGGAAAGAAATCGCTGTAGCTTTTTTGTTTGAAACTAGGATTCTTGGCTTATCCTAATCACCTTCAATTTTTTTATGTACATATTATTTTCGCTTTTCAGTGCCATACCGTTTATGACGAAACTAAAAAAAGACAAAAATTCAGGTTGTTCCACTAAAACAAAACTTTAGCAATCATACATTATTTTTAAAAAATGGACCAATTAAAATAGTCTACAGGGTTAATAAGTCTTACAGTAGCTTAAAAAAAAAGAAAATAATTTATTCTGCCAATTATAGGGTACATATTCCTTCGTTTTGATGATCTGCGAATGATATCGAAGAATAATCTTTCGTAGCATTTTTTTTCTTTGCTTCTTCGTAACTCTGGTCATCCTGTGAAACTGCTGTCTAACCTCATTAGACATCCTTTATGGAATGCCGAATAGGCAAAAATGAGCATGTTTGACATCTCTGCTTTTATTCAAAATCACAAAGCTGCCA